ACTGTGGCCAGGTCTGGATCCAGCCCAATGAATACTTTTTCAAGTGAAATGAAAACAGAATGACAGAGACACCACTGAATGCACTTGTCTCACAGTAATACCTATCCACCAGCAGCATAACCCTTAGTAATAAATGAATTATCTGAATGGGGGATAAGTTTAAAAACAAAAGGCAAAGTATGTGTATAGACATGTTGGAAATAAGTCTGGTTTGCAAAGATAGAAAGGTGCGGAGAAGTAGAGTGAATGGTGTCAGCATCAACTAGATTGAGCTATGCTTCCTTTTCTCATCTTATACCTTTAATTTCTTCAGCTTAAGGTTTCTTGGTTTTTTCCACGCTTTCTATAATACTGCTTACCCCAAAAAGGAATAGCGTGATAGGTGTGTATATAAGTATGTATGCATGTATCTAAATTCAAAGATGAAGAGCAGAGAAACTATGTGTACATAGTAAGACAGGGATGAGTATTGCACTAACGGTAAATTTGGATTTTGAGAGCATAGAGTAGGCATGCTCACCGCTCTGCTGCCATGGGAAGCTCACCTAGTTATTATGAAATGGGACATGGCCACGTTGCTAACCTCTGCCATAAAAAGTTACAACATATTTTGCTACCTTCAGCTCCCCTAAAAACCACTGTCACTAACAAGTCAGAGATTTAAGAAGCGACTAAAAGGTACAGTCTTATCCTTAGTGGAAACAGCAAAGAGATATTTTCCCACATTTAGTTTTAGTTCCAAAAAGAGGCACCTATCATTCCTTTCTTCCTTCTTTCTAAAAATATTCAAGAAGCAAAACATTTTACAGATGGCAACTCTTCAGAAGATGACCTGGCTTCGAAGGAGGGAACTACAACTACTTTTATAAAAGACTGGAAGCTCTTTATAGACTTCTTGCTGAAAAGGGATAAAAATGAACTGCTGATTTCAGGCTTTACTGATTAAAAAGGTTTGTTTATGGGAAGAAGGGAACTATGATATAGTGGGAGGGTGGAGATGGTACTGTAATTGCTATGTTTGTAACTGCTACAAAGATCAGAAGTCACTTCTTTAGATATATTTTTTTCTTGTTTTTTTGTTATTCTTCACTGTTTCTTTTACCCTTTTATAATCTTTTTCTATTTCTTCGTCTATGTTTCTGTAGTTTTTAAAATCTTTGTAAAGTCTTCTTTTAATAAAAATTATTCATAAAAAAAAGATGACCTGGCTTCGCTATTTGCTGGTGTGTAAAGAACAAGTATTGACAAAAAGAAAGTTATCATTATACTTAATCATAAATTCCCACTTTAATGATCAGAAGGTCACATGATCTTGCTTGCTTCATGTCAATCTCACCTAAACTATACAGTAGAACTATATGTGAAGATCATGACAGAAAAGAGCTGACCAAAAAACAGAGAACAGTTTAAATGCATACCAGAAAGCAAATTAAATTTGCACACACACAGGCCCATTTAGCCATAGTTTAAGGAATAAGGCACAAATAGTAATAGTAACCCACAAATACAGTTGCAAACTGTAATGGTTGGGCTCATTCAATATACTAAGCCAAACCAAGTTAGTTTATTGCAAATTGTTGACCTTAGTTCCAGATCCTCATTCATGTACATGCCATCCTGGAAAAAATATGATTTTGCAGACATAATATTTTTAAAATCCAATATGGAAAAATATTTGTGTTCTGAAGCAAAGAATGAGAGAAGAGATCACATCAAGGTGATTCATTCAGAGATCACAGGGTACAATCATGTTCTAGTTTATTTTACTAAAAGAACCAGAGGTCAATTTATATAGTGCTATAGTTGTGAAATTCTCCCTTTATTACATAATTATAAGAACATTTTGTCTGTCATAGAAGATGGATGCCACGAGCAGTATTTTTCTACAGCAACTGCCAAGAAAGGTTTACTCCCATGTGAACTAGAGTAAACGTGTCACACATTTGCAGAGCGTGCCGAAAAGCTTTTGCAACACTGTGACACAACCTTTAAAATCCTCTCCAAAGTGGTGCTGAAATGCTGCATTTGCACTGCTCTTGCAACATGGCTTATCTCTGGAGTCACTCATAGAATAAATTGGGAATAAAATATTAATCTTAGGAATGCATGATCATCCAAGTTCTTATGTGGAAAGCAAGCCTACCAAGACCTCCTAGTATGATTCCCAAAAGCTCACTGTAACCTCACTCAATAAGGAGGCTACCTGCTGTGACTCTGTGCGATTAAGTGTATCAATTAACTAAACATTACAAATCTTCTACAAGCTTTTATTTTAAATGAACCAACACTTCCCAAATTTATTTAACATTTAACATCCCATTTTTCTCCCTCTTTCAACTACTTTTCCTCCTCCTTCCTACCTCAATTTTACTGCTCTTTATTCTTCTACCACACTCTGTCCAATCTAGACCTCTACTTTCCTGTTCCCAATTAAATTCTAATAATGTGGGGATCTAAATTGTATTGCAAAAAATAGCAATTTATTGTGCTTGTCTTATATACAAAGAGGTAACTTTGAAAACTTTTCAGTACTGTTAGAATTCCACATTATTTTTATTATAGTTATCATCATTTTCAACTTGATTACTGTGTTTTTTCTCCATATTAGTTTTTCTAGTGTAACATTTTGTACATTGCTAACATCTGTAAATCACACTGAAAACTGCAGTTTTGGGGTAATTTGGAAGTTCAGAAAATTAATAGTATAAGGATAGGAGTAACTGCAACTTAACTTCACTGCTTACAATCCTCCCACCAGTCTCTAAGAAGTGTGCATGTATATACTTGCAAATAAAGAAGTTCTAACCCTTGAAAGCATCTGTCGTTTATATATTCGTTAGCCTTTCTTTTTGCTGTGATTGACAAACATAACTATCCTTATAGAAAGGCTGACTTAAACATTACCAATGAATTCAGGTCTCTGATTTAAGCTTTGCATAATAGGCAGATAAAAAGCTAGCTGGACCTCAAACTAAAATCTGTAGAACATCAGTGGAACAGTAAAAAATTAAAATTAATAGCTACTGCTCTTTTGCCAAGCAGCAGCAAAAAACATTCAAGTTTCCCCTAGATTGTTTTACATGTATGTCTCACCAATTAATTCTCCCAGAAACTGGGGCAAAGTGTATCACTTGAAAGAATAACTCTTGAAAACATTGCACCAATAGTGCAAGAGAAGCCTCTACTGATACTTGGTGAGCTGGCTTATTCTCACAGGGATCCAACCAGGGTAGCAGAGCTTTGCGCATTGCTATTACTGCCAGTTATAGCAACAGGTGACTTTTTATTACAAAAGTTAAGATTGTCACAGATTTAAGAAAGCAAAGAGGTTTAGACCAGACATTTCATGTAAAACACAAGAGACAACATACATTCCATGACCAATGTAATACATGTGCTATTTTTCCCTCCGATCTTGTGAACATTTCAAATCATACTTGATTTTGCATGGCTGGGTACAACAAAACTGGCATTTTCAGGAGGCCAGTTCAGATATCAAGGTATTAAATAGTTTATCATGAAGGGCACAATCTTTGAGTACTCCATTTCCACTGCTACTCAGTGTGCAGACAGAGGGAGGCATCTTTATTATTGTTTTTCTATTTCTGTTTAATGTGCTAATTAAAACAGTAGTTAACCTTGACTATTGTTTATTGAAAGAAGTTAGTTTCACAGCCCATGGCTTGAAGATGATGGTTTCAAAGAAAACTCGGTTAGGATTTTTTTATTTCTTGGGTTTGGAGAATGGCAAGCTGTGGTCAACCAAAATAGAAGTGAACGCTTCAGAAAAGAGGGAAAAGTACACAAACTGAAGGTTTGATTAAGCTAATTATTTTGATAAATCAGTTTTTATAATGCCCAAACCACCTCAAAATGATGATCCTTTATAAACCAGCATAGGCTGGGTTCAGACATAACACTAAGCCAGAAGCTGTGGAAGCACCACTTATTTATTCATCATGAGCATACCTATGGTTTATTCAAGTAACTAGATTTCTGGGCTAGGTTTATCCTGTATGTTAGGCAAAACCATGGCTTATTGTGCTATATAAACCTAGCCATTGTAACTTATAAACCAACATTTATGGCTAAATATAATGTATAGCATAAACTAAGTGTAGCTTGGTCAGCAAAACATGGACAACACAAATGATGGCTTAGTGAGATATGTGAACCCAATGTTTGTGTTGGGTTACAGTGTAGAACTAAGGCTTTTGAAATTAAAAAGTAAAGACTCCCTTGAGCTGAGCTTTGCTCTTACTGACTACACTACATGGACATGTTTACTTGAACAAATACCAATCCTGTTGCTTGTTTGAGGATTTGTTGTTGTTTTTGTAATTCTTGTCTCAGTCTATCCTACAGCCCTGGGATTTCCTGGGTTAGGGGTGCACTTCCCAGGTCTATCTCTCCTTAGCCTTTCCAAGGCCAACCAAGGTCAGTTAAGGGTGACCTCAAACCTAGTAAATCTCCATGCAGAACTTGGTTATTTCACTGTACCTCTGTCGAGTCCACCACATAAAACTGTGTGGCTAGGAGTGAATGTCTGTTGTCCCGAGCACCACAAAGAAATACATATAATACAGTTCTGAAAGGAAATTCCATTTAATATGAACCCTTTAAATATTATACAGTGTAACTCTGTATAATTTTAACAGTTTGAGGCACAGAGGCATGAGAGTCTTGACAATGATATTGCAATTTAGCATTCATACCCATAATACAGTGGAAGAAGAAAAAACAAGCTTTCTTGGTATTAAAGCTTCTACACTCTAGCAGTTAGCTTTGTTAATGTTTCTACACTCAGTCTGAATATTGATGTTTTGAACAGCCCTTCACAGACACGCTAGAAGCAGAATTCATGTGATTGGTTCTTCCATAAAAGAAAGCATTACCTTAGTCTTACCTCTCCCCACCTCTCCATATAATCTACACTCTACAATTAGAAGAAAATTCACAAAATCCAGGAACTCCAATGCTCAGCAAGACAAAACACTTACTCTGCTTTGGCAGAAACAAGAAGGCCTGCACAGAAGAACTTCCTAGCAAAGAGTCTCTCTCAGCCTTAGGAAAAAGAAAAAAAAATCTTTCTTTCTGTGTTGTGAAAGTGACACTGAACTTTGCTCCTGCTGACAAACAGGATAAATAGGGGAGGGCAAAAAAGAAAAGGAGGAAATCTGAAGTGGAGGGAGAAAAATGAGAAGAGAGCAAAGCGTCAGACTGCTGAGTTGATAGCAATCCAAGGGAAGTGTAAAAGTTTTCTTTACAGCAAACCAAACATAAGGTTTCTGTGGTGTTTTCTTATGATCCAAGAATAATTATGGGAGGAACTGCTGAGAAAAGTTCTTAACCCAAATAGGAATCCATCTTCAGTGGTTCTTTTTGGCAACTGTATTTACTCAGAAGCAAATCATATCAGAATAACCTAATAACATAAAATAATATAAATAAATAAATAGGAATGGATTGAGGCCCACATCACAAAGGGCCAAGAGGTATGTTCCTTTTCTCCCCTAAGCTTAACAATGCTGAAAAAGCCGGTCCCCATTTAAATAAATAAATAAGGCACAGAAAGGAAGAGGAATTTGGAGCACCTGTTCCTGACCCGATGTCCTTCAATTCTATTCGACTACACCTCCGTAATTCCCAAGAAGCATGCCCGACGACCACTAAATTATGAGAGTTTTCGTCCAAGAGGCCCGGAATTATCAGACCGGGAAAAAATCACTCAAAACAGGACCAGGGACTGACGGGCAATTTTGCTCTGCCTGTACGCGACGAGTTGTCGTCCCTCTGAGCTTACTTCTGAGAAAGCGCGCACCGAAAGCAACTCTGTCAACACGCGTGTTCAGTTGTGACAGCTGAAGCCTCAGCGAGTTTGTCTAATCCTGAAACCCCGATCAAATCCAAGAGGATTTGTCTTCTTCCCACAGCCCCGAGGCGAGCGCCAGAGGTGGCCTGCCAAATCTCCCGGGCCTTCAGCGGAGCTTTGCTGAGAGGAAAAGGGGCTGATAGCTCGGGCTTGCGCGCCGCAATGCTTTGCCCCTCTCGCTAACGCCGGCGGGGCTACTTCCGAGGAGGCCCCCCGAACAAAGGGAGGACAGCGAGAGGAGGAAAGGGAAGAAAGAAAGGCTGCCCCGAAGCTTCAGCAGCAACCTGGAGCGCGGCGCGCCGGCACCAAGAAGGCAGCGCTCTCCCGGGCGCGCGCGCCATCGCCAAAGCCAGAACCCGCAGAGACTTACCCAGCTGGAGAA